ACAGGAAACTGTCTGGAGTGATTGGAGCCACTAGTGTGCTGACATGGAACACATCATTTCAGGCCATCTCTTCCATGGGCAGTGATGGACCCTACATTGTCTGCACACTGTGTCTGGAGGCAGGATAAAGGGGAAGACATCACTTCCAGAGCAGAGTACCTAAAGCAGTCCTCAGGGTGCCTCGGCTGCAAGTGGGCAGTAAAATAAAGGCAGTGGCATGTACACATGGATTGTCTCATGCTAAAGCAAGAAAGCTGTGTGGGTTTGTCCAGTGCTAAATTACAGTACTATCAGCTAAACAGACCACACCACTGACCTGGCACTGCTGGGTCCAGCTCTTTAAGGAGACCACAGTTGAATGGTGGCAAATGAAGCTGACTAGGGATGACACTGCTCTGATCCCACTCACTACTGGTCACCTGACTTTGCCTCCAGTATAATGGGTGGTGAAAAGTAATAGATTTTACATATCTCACAAATGCTGTTGAATGCTCTCAGTTTAAAGGGGAAAATGCTACTTTAACACCAGTACTCCCAAGGACAACTTAAAACTATCTCACTGATGAGCTGAAGGCTATGTCATGGGGAAGTGGCAGGGGAAAAAAGTTGCCAGCATATGTTTGTACTATGATTACATGCAAGTAGGAAAAGGCCCTAAGATTCTTTTCAGATGCCATTTTACTGCACCAGCAAAATGCTTGTTTATATAACATTTAATTATTCAGATGATACCTGTCCATCTACCACTCTGGAGGTAGGGTGATACATTTTTATCCTTCTCTCATTTGCTTCTGTGCAGCAGAAAGTCTGTCTTTTTTTCCAGAAAACTACCCCATTAATGCCATCATTCATAGCTCCAGACCTTTCTAAATACTTCTCCTTTCCTGGAGGCTAGTCCTTCTATGATGTCATGTCCAAAGACTTAATTCCCTTAAGCATTATTGTATTTGCCCTCACAGTCCCTTCAGAGTTCATTCAAACATCTAGCTGTTTTCCAAAAGCCTTGCGTAGTCTTTATGGAAGATAAACCGATGAACCAAGGCAAGGAAAAGCAAATGGTTAGCAAGTTGTATTATTTTCTTCCTGTGATAGGGAAAGTAGTCTTGTTTGTGTCAGAGCAGAGCTCAACTAAGCTCAAATGAAACAGGAAAGAAACCTGAGAACAAGTGGCAAGACAATAATTGATTAGTCAACTTGAAAGGCGCCAAGGACAATAATTAATTACATGGCAGAGTCAGTAAATATGCTGGCATTCTTCACCCATGATAGGCACGATCTTGTCATGAGATGTTCTCTTGGTCAGAGAGGAGTGGCCCATGGGCTACATGTGGTCCTCTGCACCCCAGTTGTGGTGGCAGAATCTTGAGATTTCACTTCCAAAATTTGGTAGCTAATGTCCATTTTGGGCAACATGATTTTTCGGGTTTCATTTTTCAGAAATAAAGAAGGAAATGGGAGAGAGAGGCCTGTGGGAAGGAAACCGCACCGGGCATTAAAACCCCCCCCCCCCCCCCCAATTACAGAAATTTCAATGTGGCAAAGGAGTTCTCATGCTACTGTTAGTGCATGCCAAAATTATCTAGGCTCATGCCAATTGTCTGTCATTTTGGATAGAGAAGCAGAAAAAATTAGCAGGACTGGGGAGTTTGGATAAGTAATAGAAGAGAAGGTAGAGGAGGAAGATAGGAATGGGAAGGATAGATGAATGAAAAAGAAAGGAAGACTTATTTATAATTTAGATGTATGCAGGTACTCCTTGCTTAACGACTGTTCATTTAACGATGGTCTGGAGTTACGACAGCCTTGGGAAAAGTGCTTTATGACCCCCCGCGGTCATGTGATTGTAATTTGTGACATTTTTTACAATGGTCATTAAGTGAATCACATGGTCGTTAAGCAAATTCCAGCAAAAAACATCCATTGGGGAAGCTGGATTTGCTTAACAACCATGCAACTCGCTTAACAACCACGGTGATTCACTTAATGACCATTGTAAAAAATGTCATAAAACAGCCCCGATTTGCTTAATGACCAAATTGCTTAGTGACTTAATTCTGGTCCCTATTGTGGTCAGATAGCAAGGACTACCTATAAAGATGTCCTGCTCCAGACAGACTGTGGATGGCATACAACTGAACCAATACAACATCTAAAAATAGGAAAAATAAATACATAAAATAACATTAAATTGAACATAATTTGGTACAATATGCTGCAGCTAAGACAAACTATACACCAGTGGGCATGACAAGAATCTATCTCAGAGCTTGGGGTAAGAGCCAAGTTTTGAAATATCATCTCAACGTGTGTGGGCAGTCCAAACCTTCCCCGAGAAATGTTATTCCAAAGAGCAGGTGCCGCAACAGATGTTTGAGTGGGAAGTAAATACAATCAGTTCCAAGGCAATTCCTTCTTTCTCAAGTTTGATACAGATGGAGATGGAGCTATCAGCAGTTTAGAGCTGCGCCAGGCTGTGACTGCCCTCTTAGGTGAACAACTCAATGCCCAGGAGATGGACGAGATCCTGCAGGATGTAGATCTCAATGGGGATGGAAAAGTGGACTTTGATGGTGAGAAAAATCACATGCTTTGTTAACCCTTTTCCCTTAAATGCTGCATTCTGAAAGGCAGGACCTGTTTTCCATAAAAGAGGCATTGTGCTAGAGGGGATTTTTGCAAAATGCAATTGCTGCTCAGTAGCTGCATGAGAAATAGTACAGGACAGTATCAGCTGGGTTGTTCAAAGGATGCCTACCAATTCGAAAAATAACCTGGAAAAGCCAGAAAGGGATAGCACTGCAGTTGCAGGTTCCAGTAGGCACCGCAGTAATCTGTTTTCAATTTTCTCTATGAAAACATGCACAGGTTTCAACCGTGCATTTAATCTAGATTAAAAAACAAAACAAAACAGAATCCTTTCCTACTTGTTAGTTTTTTAAGGGAAGCAGCAATTGTGGCTGCTGCTGTTTCCCCTTGAAGCTTTGTACGGTCTTTAGTCAATTTCATAAGTACCATTTATCAGAGAATATGGGCCAATGTCACAATCCACAGTTGGCTAAGGATGACTACCTGATTTGATCATCCTTTTTATACAAGTAGAAGCACCTTTTCCATGGAACAAAAAATAGACCTGCACCTCCGAAACGTATTGTGATCACCAAAGCATGCAGCTGCTCTAAGGATCTATCATAAATACAGCCAGGGGAAGATGATTTTTTTTTTTTGGGTGGGAGGAGAGGGAATTGTGTAGGAAACTAGCTTAACACCTGCACAATATATTCCATTCCATACCTGAGGGAGTTATCACACGGATAGGATACAATGCCTGTCTTGATTTTCCCAAGGACTAGGATGCAGGTGTGATGGTTTATAGCACTATCCCTCTTCTGCAAGGCCCACCCCCACTTGGCTTTGTGATTTTTGTCACTTGCTCTGTTCTTACCAGAAAGCTATGATTTTGTATCCCTCCTCTTTTACTAACAAATACTGGAATCAGTGCCAGGACTAGAGGGAATCAAACAGGCCCCTTGAGAGGAAGGCACATTGAGAAGAGGATGAGAACCCCTCGTAAATACAGGTGGGGGACTGATTTGACTCTTCCCGTCTCTTTCAGAATTTGTGATGATGCTGTCCTCCAGGTAACAAGAGCCAGAGGAGGAGAATGGAAATGTCTTTTTGTTTCCAGTATTACCTTGCACAGTAATAGGAAGGAATTGCTTTCTGCTGCCAGCTTTTTTTACTTCCTGGAGATAGGAGCATCACTACAGAAGGTGCAACTCTCTTCCCCCAAGTCTGGATCCAAACTGGCAAAGTATTTCAGGGAGCAGACGCCAATTGCATCTGCAGGGAGGTTTTGTGCTTTGAGGCAAATTGGCTGGGCCAAGCCTAGAGAACTCACCTGGCCCCATTCTTGTGGTAGGGACAGAAAGCACTTAAGTGTCCATACCTGTGTGGCTAGGCCTGGCAAATTCTGTCAGGCATGGAGCCATACCCAGGTGAACTTTGACTTCCTCTGTCATTTTTTGCCCCATCAGCTCAGAATTCTTGGAGATTTAAAATAAACTGTTTGAATTTAATAGTGCATTCATCCAGATATATTCTCTTGAACTGGATGGTGACATTTCTAATATCTTGGGAGCAAAATGAATAAATGAGTGCCAAGCCTCTTCCCAGATATTTTAAATAAAGGGGAAGGGACTCCTGGATCTCATCCATTAAGACCCCTCACTGGAAACTATAAGGATGTGTGTCCTGTTTCAGTACACTGGTTAAACAAAGATCAGATTAGCTCTGAATGAGCAAACAAAGCTATCAAAATTCTAAAGGGCAATCCCTGAAATGCTTCCCAGGAATTACATTAATTCGATGTCAACTTGGCGCTTGGAAAAAAGTTAAAGATCACTATATGCAACCATAAATGTATTTATTTCCTTTTGACAGCTGCATAAATATTAGGTATGTGTACAGTTCATGCATGTGCAAAAGCAAAGTTAGACTCTGGCTGTCTTCTTGAATGACTGGCAGTGTTATTGAAATGGTATGAAGCATAACTGAAATATTTATGTCCTGTTTTTCTGAGGCTCACGTATTAAGTAAAATAGCTGGTGATCATGAAAAGTCACAATATTAGATTACAGAAGAAGTCAAAAATCTAATAGCATGGCATGTATGGCAGACAGAACAAAGTCTTAGTTAAAATCACTTCAACCTGACCAATTAAAAGCCTGCTTCCTACCTTAAAAAAAAGTATTCTCAGATTGACAAAATGAAATTGGAAAGGAGGTCTTCAGAATTTCACTGTTCCAAAATAGTGGTGGATCTACAGAGAATGTCCTTTGTCCAACCAATTGTGCCTCCACCATGGATGGGAAGATAGAAGGTCTCCTCATCTTAATCTTAGTGGGTAGGCAGACTGGTTTGAAACGAGCTACTACCTTGGGGATCCTTGATTCAGCTAGGACGCTATAGGTCAGTGTTGTCCAAACTTGGCCACTATAAGATGAGTGGACTTCAACTCCCAGAATTCCCCA